TTTGAGATTTATAAACATAGAACATAATGTTTGTTATACAGTAAGCTTTCAACAAGTGATAGTATTGACTCTTTAACAGGCTTGTTTCATATTATCTTCTACTCTGATTTCTTACTATGATAAAAAACATCTTTAGCCAGTAATCAGACTATTAAGTGTACCTTGCATTATAATTGGTGTGGCAGGAGAACTACTACCATCATCTTAAGGTTTTCTTTTCTTTAAAATGTCTATAAATGGCTAGTGTGTGTTGTGTTGCCATAACAAAATATCTAAGACCAGAAATTTAGGGGGCAAAAATTATAAAAGGAATTCTCTGTCACAGCCTGTTAACTGGGTAGTCTGAGACTGAGCACTGCCACTTAGTGGTAGGCCCTTCCTCATGAGCCCTTGAAAAGGCAGAAAAGCAAAGAGAATGAACAGGCTCCACACATTCTTTTATGAGAATACATCGACCTGTTGGAAGGGGGAACTCTTCATATCCCCATGGCCTCTTAGAGGTGACACCGATCCCTTCAGTCACATGGCAACACCTGAGTTAGAAGGAGATGCAATTGAAATTATAGTGGCTTAGTAATGAAAACCAATATTCCTGTTTCCCCTCTTACCATTCCCTTTAATCTCCTTCCAGTTTCTAAGTCATACCCCTTCTTATTTTTAGTTATTACTTTATATTTTTACACATTCTTAATATTTTTCCACCAAATACAGATTTTACATTTTGACCCTCACTGTATAGTCAGGAGCTGGTTCCCTAGCCCTCTTAGTAATCTAAAGAGCAGTTACTGGGCGTATAAAATCTTAATAAAAGCTTATTGTATTTTATGATAGATGAATATTTTTAGCTTCCTGTCTACTCTTTTGAAACCTCTTAGAGGTATATGCTTCTCCTTTTCTCTACAATATTCAAAGCTAATGACTTAATAAAATGTGTGTTAGGATGTACATATCTGAAAAATATGTATTTAAAGCAGACAAATGAATTTAGTAGATGAGATAATAAAAAGGCAGGCTTATGTCTGAATGGAAGTCTCATATATTCAGTTTAGTTACAAGAAATATCCTAAAGCCATAGTGTCTGTTTTTCTTTTATTAAGATAGAAGTTACTATAAAAAATCAACCAAAACAATTACATAATAAGGAATATTCCATGATACTCTAATGAGAATTTGTGTGGTTCCAGTGAAATTGATCCTTTGTGGTAGTTTCAGTATAACTAAGATGTTTACTCTTGTTATATAGCTACACAGATTCCTACACACTTCTGATTAGGCCCAGCTATAACTTTCTGTTCATTCTTAGATAACAGATTAAATTTGCCTCATATGTTTTAAGTAAACTTGAAACAAGTTTGTCCAAGAAACTTAGAACCCTTTCCTTCTAGAAGCTTTAATCCAGTCTTTTTGGTTTTTCAAGACAGGGTTTCTCTGGGTAGCTTTGGCATCTGTCCAGGAACTCTCTATCGACCAGGCTGGCCTTGAACTCAAAGAGATCCTACTGCCTCTGCCTCCCCAGTCTGGGGTTAAAGGTGTGAGCCACCCAGCTGAAACTTTAATCCAAACAACTTGATTCTTCAGTTTACAGAGTCAGTACTTAGAATATTTAGTTAGATGCTATCTGCAAGTTATCATGGTAGTCAGTTGGAGGATTATTGTTTGACAGTACTTACAGTACCAATTAGTATACACCTGTGGTATTTATCAGAGTAGCATTCCTTGGTGGATTACATGTTGCTCTAAGCTAGATCACATGATACAGTGATAGGAGTGGACTTGTTAGTAAAACTTAGCAAAAGTAGATGGACAGTGTGGCTTAGCCTGTGATCCACAGGTAAAGTCTAGGTTAGAATAGTCTGGACTAGAACTTTGTGCCTTGGATAATGTCTAACGTGATGTTCCTTTTGTGTCTTTAAAGAGGACTAAAAAATTGCTCTCACACCAAATAACTAGCCAAATGTGCCATGTGCTGCAAGTTATCTAGTTCCCAGAGTCCTGCTTTTCCAGGTTAATCTACATTGTGTGCAAAGCCTGAATGTTGAAGGTACCGAATCCTCACATTTACTTTGTACAATAACAAGTTGGCATGTCTTAAAATGGAGGGAGATCTAACAACAGTAAAAGCTGGGCATGGTGGCACACAACTGGGAGGCTGGAGCAAGAGGGTCAGGGGTTCAATGCCAGCTTCAGGTATGTGGTGAGTTCTAGGCCAGTTAGGACTACATAAAACTGCTACATGAGACTCTATATTAAACACGCACGCACACACGTGCGTGCACACACACACACACACGCACACGCACACGCACACACACACACACACACACACACACACATACACACACACACACACACACACACACACATGAGACAGAGACTGAGATACAGAGAGAAAACAAAACCATAAAAAGGCTCATTTAAGCCAGCCAGGAGTCACTGTGGCCTGGTCCAGGGGTTCATGTGTCTTCCCAGTGCTTTCAGGACTGTCAGCCCTGCCCTCTTCACTGTTGAGGGCTCTACCATGTCCTTTCTGTTCTCCTTGGATCAGATCACAATAAATATTTTCTCCTTTATTTGTTTTGTTTATTGTCTTTCTCCCCTTCCTAGGAATAAGCCTTAAAAGCAAGGGTTTTATTTCTGTTATGTTCACTGCTGTATTGACCCTCAAAAGTCCTTGATGAGGGTGACAGAAACAAAAAAATGAATATTTCCCTGAACTTATAAAATAACATCATAAACATTCATGAAGTATACTACAAGATACATGTACTATGAAGAGCTTTCAAGGAAATAGTAACAAATACCTATAGACAATGTAGTCTGGAGGAGAACAGTCTACATTCTTTACCAGTTCATTGAACCTGTTTCATTTTTCTAATATAAGAAAAAACTTACCAGTGTAGTTTTTGGGCGACTAGGAATAGATGAAAACCTAGGTTTGAATTACACTAGGAATAGATGAAAACCTAGGTTTGAATTACAGTCTCAAGAACAGAGATCAAATTTCACTTCCTACACCTGGCTCTAACGGTGAATTTAAGGCTAACAGGGTTGTTGATTGTAAATTTGCCTCTCTCCCACCCAAACAGCAAATTCAAGTTTTATGCAAGCTTAGTTAAATGGAAAAACAGTTTGCTTTCATTTATTTTATAAGGTTCATGTGTGACACTGCAAAATGAAAGGAAACAATAGCTGGTAAGGGCTGTATTCAGGTAATAGTCACTAAATGGCATGGCGTCCTTTCATTAGAATATGCTCATGTGCCTTACTTCATATTTGAGAAGTAGTTTCTGCTTTCATCTTCATAGTCTTTGGCTGAAATTACACTTGGGTTCATAAGTAAACAGCATCTCATACAATCACATTTTAGTCTAGATGCCTTTGGGAACTGTGAAAATTATGCTCTCAACAACTTCAAATATGTGGAATAAACATATTTTTAAAAAACAAAGAGCCAGGAACTCTGCAGTCGAACATCCTAAGATACCATGTCTTCTTTGGGCCACAAATGCTTGGATGGATGTTCTAGTGTGCACAGTAAAGCAGTGCAGCGTGTATGTAACTGTGGGAACTGCTTGGAATATTTTTCACAACAAAGCTATTAAAAATCAAACTGGTACCTCTCTTGTGCCTTTGAACTTGAATCATTTGGGAATCTTCTCTTATGCTGTTTTGAAATATACATTGTTGCTAACCACAATTACACTGCATTCAATAGAATACCCACATCTAACTGACATTGTTTTCTTACTCTCTGTATTCTCCACTAGCCACCTTCTATTATGAAATCAGCTCTTTAAACTCCACATTTGCATCAGATCATGTGCTGTTTGTCTCTCTGGCCTGCATTATTTGAACTTGACATAATGTCCTCCAGGTTCATTCAAACTGTCACTTTTTTTTAGAGCTAAACAAAATTTCATTGTGTTTATATGCCCCATTTTCCTTAATCATCCATTTATCAGTGAACATTTAGGTTGATTCTATATTTTGGCTGTTATGAACAGTGCTTCAGACAAAAAAGGATTGCAGATGTCTCTTCAATCAACACAATAATTTCTTTTCTTCTGGATATATACATAGTCAGATCATCAACTGGTGTAATAGTTCTGTTTCTAATTTTTTGAGGACCTTACATATGTTTTCCAGAAAGGTGGTACTAGTTTATATCCTCATCTGGTCCCTTCTTCGGTAGTTTTAGGACTTTAAATATTTTAGTCAGATTGAAAATTAAAATCCATAGTTGCAGAGCAGTTTCATGTATACCCGATATACACAAAAATAAATCTTTTACCCTGATTCGTCTACAAATAATCTAAACAAAAGATTTTATTTTTTTCATATCCTGTTTAATGGAATGCTAAGATTTCATGAAAAGTTTTTAAATGAAGTAAACTTTGAATTTTTCAGTCTGCTATTTTTTCATAAGTTGTGTGAAACTAGTGTCTTTAAATCTAGTTTATTTTTCTTCTTCAGTCTCCTATTTGCATTTTCATCTTCACCACCTTATACTTTATATTTTGGGTAATGATTACAACATATTAAAAGTGGCAGAAAATTAATTATACCTGTTTGTTACATATCTAATTATAATCTAAATAAAAGTCTTTCTCCCAATCCTTGCGATCCTTATACACAGACTTTTACCGATTTATACACTCATTGCTAATGTTTGTCATTTCAGATGCCTGTACCTTAAAATTAAGCATTTATTTATTTAAACTTTTACCATCTGTCCCATTACTCTCAGCATTTAATATATATTTAAATGTGTCATCTTATGAAAGATCTTTGCCTTCATGGAATTTCTAGAGGCCTGTTAAAGCCACTGACATTGTTTATCACACTGATGATGTCCGTTCACTTGAAGAGTGGGAAATCAGCAGCTTTTGCTCCCAGGAGTGCAAAAGCAGCCACCTTGTGATCTGCGATCGTCTCAGCAGCCTGTGGTCTTGTGCCTTCTCTGTAATGATGTAGCTCTGTCTCTCCTTTATTCTTTGCAGAGTGCTGCAGCAGCTCCCAGCCCCGTGCTAGGAAACATGCCCCCAGGAGATGGCATGCCAGTAGGTCCTGTGCCACCAGGGTTCTTTCAGGTACTTGGAGACTTGACTAGGAATGTTAAGGCATAGGAGTTCCTGCTTGGGCTTATTTAGCTGTAATGAAGTAGATGAGGCTATTTTAATTCTTCTAGTTTAATTCTTACGGTAAATATGATACTGTACAGCCAACTCTTGATTGCTCAGACTGGTTATTTATTATATTTCACTCCCTCTGTTGTATTACTTGTTATGATTAATATTAAACCATTCATTGGTTAAGAAGGAAAAGAAATCAAAGTGCAAATTAGGATAAGTTCACTATGATGAATACTTGTGGGAAAGATACTAAAGATATGAAGAGGTCTGTTTCCAACTGTCTGTATTTCTATAGACTAAGAATAATCAAGATTTGGCTGTATTTTCAGAAGTAGCCAAGTCATAATCTATTCACATAATAAAAATTATAGGCTGTATCAAAATATTTGAAATCACCTTTGATTTTTCCTCTGGAATCTTTATTAATACAATTATATAAAATTTGAAGATCAGATTTTTCAACTGTGTATTTAGCATTTTTAAAATTTCATTACCTGCTTCTTTTAGCAATGACAATAATGATTTTAGAGCTATAAAAGTCAGTTTTTAATTTTGTAGATCTTCATCTTAATTCTGATAGAATTCTAACACAAACCAATATACCCTTATAAATTCTGAAGGTTTTTTCTAATTTGGTTAATTTTATAACACTCTGAGAAAATTAAAATTTAGGATTTAGAATTAGATGTGGGAGGCATTATAGAAATTAATATCTAACATACTATCTTGTTAATATAGTAGGTACATATAAGCCAAGTTGATATTTCGGTTTATTTTTAATTTCAAAACTCCTGATAATCGTCAGTTATTAAGGCACTTATAAAGGTGAAAATGGAGAGATTAAATTGTAAGTAATTTTGCAGAATAGTACATTTAATTAAAAGATCTTCTCAAATAGAGCCTGGTACACACCCTGTACTTTAAGGGCAGGTTCATTGGCCTAGCTTCTCTGTATTGAGTCATATTAAAGCCACATTCTATCTGGAGCCCCTTTATATACTCTAGGAACTGAGTATAACTGTTGCTTACTATGTGACCACAATCTAAAACAATGATAACAATAACAAACACTTAATAATTAGTCTACATGCTTTACACAGATCCCAATTCCTACAGCAGCCAAAGTATGACGTATGGATTGCTATGATTCTGACTGTGCAAATGGAAATACCAAAACATTGACCGATAAATGATTTTCACAGAAAGTGACAGGGCTGAAACTTTAATCAAAACAGTCTGAATATCCGTCATTGAAATTACCTTTGAAAGTTGGTTGTTATCCATGACATATTTCTAGCTCCTTTTATTTTTGCTGTATACTCAAAGTTCTCTTTCAAAAGGTGGGTTGGGGTAGGGAGTAAGTCAGAGAGTTTTATCTATTATACAGTTAAGAGGACTCTCAGTGGCACTCTTAAAAGGGGAAGGTTGGTTGGGGAGGAAAGCAGATTCTTTCACTATAGCATTAAGCCAAGATGGATAAACCCATACATTTTCATTTTTACATTTGGCAGATTTAACCCCTCTCCTTGCCTGTTTTCTCGTTAAGAGTAATCACAATAGATTTAACTTCCTTTCAATTATCCTGATACAATTCATTATTGGGTACCATTCTAGTCCAGACACCGTGATATCTAAAATACAGCACATACAGTGTATGGCTTCCTGAAGCTCCTTGTGTTAACAAAAATAAGCAGCTTTAAAAATGGCAAAGTGAAATGATCTGTGATGGCCAAGAAGAGAGAAGGGTTAAGTCCACCAGAGTAGAGATAAGAGAGGGCTAGAACAACTGCCCAACAAAACAAAAACACAGAGGAATAGTGTCTCAGACAGTGGACCATTAGCTAACATGTGCTAGCGACAAAATAAAAGCCGAGGTGTCAGGGTACACACAGAAAGTGCAGTAGTGGAGCAGGGCTCCTGCACACAAAATGGAAGGATGCGCTCTGCTGCTGAGAAGAGCCTGAAATGGCATGGTAAGAGCTCAGTCTATTGAGCATGCTTCTAGGAATCATCCGATCCTTGAAAAGGGCAGTGACTTGGATGTGTAACTGATTCAGACTCTGTTTAGGCTGCAGTTGGTTTATCTCTGATAAACATGTCTATAAAATCCTGGACATCCATAAACCGAGAGAATGGTGAATTGAGGAAAGTGGTTTAAGTATGGAAATTATGAAAACAGGCATATTAAATGGGTAGAATGCATTTTGTAGCAAATCAGATCACCACACTCAGTCTTGGGAAAAGTATAGTTGAAAAAAAATATTGTCAAAATAGAGACTGTAACTCAAATTAATATTTAAGATGAATGAGGAGTTCGGCAAAGGAGGCAGACAGAAAGAAGTACAAGAGAGGAAATCAAATTAATGGCAAAAACTCAGAGGGGAAAGGGATAGAAACCAAGTGTTTCAAAACCATTGGCAGCCTGACTAGTTAAAGGGGAATAGTGATGCAGCCTTCGAGGGCCTTGAAGGTAGCACTGAATTTGAACCTGATCTTAAAGACTGTAATGAGCTGTCAAGAGGAACGACTTTACATTTGCATCTTGAAAGGGAAAAAAATCATCTCAAGTAGGACCAGTTAGAACTGAGTTGAGAAGTACAAGTCTAGAAGTAGAGACTGTCAGGAAAGAGGCTTTCTGACAAAATCTGGGACAGTGGGATTAGAAGGAAAGAAACAGTTGGTAATTATGTTTGAAAACCCTTAGTTGATTGCCAAAATTAAGCATAAAAGAGAAAAAGTTTCAAGAATCAAGGAAGATACTGCAGTTCCTATTTTGGATCTCTGAAAGTGCAAAGAAAAATAGGACATGGAAACATTCCGATACATTTGTATTATTTCTCTTTACCCAGGAAAGCTGTTTCAACTTAGCTCAAGGGCTTTCCCCACCTATTCAACATTTATAAGCATCAGTGTTTAAAAATGTTCCTAAACTTTTGAAAAACTCAACCAAATGCTAAAAAGATGATATCTTTTAGTAATACAGTGATGGGGTCAGCTGAAGTGTGTCCTAGCCAATCAGTATTGGTTTTCTGCAGTGCTTGGACTGTACTTCAGTGCAAGCCTAGGCATAACACATGCTGTTTATGAATAGTAGCTACCTTTCACACATAGAAGCATGGTAATGATCAAAATCCATAAAGATTTTCCTCTGAGAATGTTTCACATCTAGAAAATGTAGGAAAGGGAATCATTCCAGAGTTGACAGATGGAAACACCCAAGTCTAGCTCAGCCACTACACACAGTTCATTCTATGAAAGGGGCATTGCAAGCGACTACAGACAGGCTGTGGCTCTCCTGGTGACTGGCTCCAATAGGCCCCTATCCTAGCAAGAGGCCAGGGTTCTCGGATATCAAGCTTCGCAGATACCAGGGAATTCCTAGCACTCAGAGGGGCTCTAAGCAGCTCTCTGCCCTCAGCTTGCTTGTAGCAGCTGGATTCCAAAGACTGTTCCCTTCTCTTGCATTTTACAGTTAGATAGAGTGCGAGAATACTTCATATTCTCAGGGAGGAAATGAAAAGCGTATTTGGGCATGGCTGGAATGGAAGTTACCCATAAAGAGATTAAAGTATTAGTATTAAGTGAATAAGATTAATAATTTATAAATTGCCTGTGAGGTTCAAGCATAAGTAGTTTTGAGCTGTACTCACTCTATAATCGTACTGTAGAAATTACATTGAAAGTAGTTATCCTAAATTGACACATGTATTTATTTTATTCCCATTTACACTGAGGAACAAGGCCCCCACCCTGTAGGTATAACTTAAATTTATTAGCAAGTGACATCACTACAGATTCTAAACTTGTAAATTCAAAACTGCAACTAACTTTAATCCTAAAATCAATACCTGTGATTAATACTCTAGTCATTTAATATGTCCATTATGGATAACAGCCTTGAGATTATTGCCTTTATTTGAGACTTTGTTCCCATGTTATTAGTTTCTTTCCTGTCATTTTGACAATGTGTCTGACAGAAGAAACTCAATGGAATGAAGCTTATTTTGACTTACAGTTTGAGAGGATCAGTCTAGCACTGCAGGAAGTTTGATGGCTGTGGTAGCCCAGTCCTTGGTGCAAAGAGCTTGCTGTGTTTTGTTCACATCTTAGTGGTCCAGGAATTAGAAAGTGACTGCACATGACCAAGGGCTTTATACAACCCCAAAGTCCAGCATCTCCTCTCTGGCAGTCAGGATGACCTCCTAAAGGTCCCATAACTTCCCCAAGCTGTACCACCTCTGGGCACAAGATGTTAAAACTCATGAGCCTATGGGAAGCACTTCTGATTCAAGCCATAGCGCCATTTAAAATTTGCTTTAATTTAAATGGGAACTTCTGTTACTATAGTAAAAGACCACTTAAGTAAAATTAGTGGCATTAGCTGCACATGCAAAAGGAAGTATCAATTTAATAAAATAAAGCCATCTACAGTAGATACATACTTATTTGCCTGTAGTCTACCAAAGGAGTGATTAGTATAAGAAACCTAATAACTCCCCAGTGACACCGTTGTAGAACCCGTGAATGACTTCAGAGCCACATTGTTAAACAAAGACTTGTGATGGACTGGGACCAGAGGAAAGGCAATGGGACTGTATACGGCAATCTGGGGTTTGGTTTTAGTGGAAAAAATACAGTAATGCATCAGTAATCTTATGTGGCTTAATTCAACAACCTCAGGGTATACTAAGGAACTTTAACTATAAATGATGTCAATCTGTTATATGTCTCCATTTTATATAGGTATATTCATTCATTCAGAAATAGGCAAAAGAATATTACTGACTGCAGCCTTGTTGAAATAGGCAGTGATATTCCTTGGGCCATTTTAGATGTTCTAAATTATGTACAATGGTCAATATACTAGAGTAAATAGTCTTTATAAAATAAGGCAAAGAAAACCTTCTTTTGTGTTTTAAAAAAGTAGATTATCAATTCTGTCTGTTATCTTGCAAGAT